GGGGCTGTTATTGTGTATATTTGTGTATTTACCGTATTAGCCTTAGGTTATATGTAGCCCTAATTTACTGTATATATTCTTGGCTTATAGAGAGTTGTATCATCCGATTGAGATGATCATTTTCTCGAATTTCTTTCGTCTCTTTTGTATCTAGTTCATTGGAGTCGACAATTAGATGAACGATCTCAAACACAATTTTTTTTGTAGAATAGTAAACAAATGAACAAAAATAGTTTGTGTTCGAACATAATCAAGCATGAGTTTAAAATTCTCAAGCTCATTGGGTTGTATTACATTTTTACCACTGGTATTTGGAGGGGCCGCCCTATCATATCCACGGGCCAGTTCAATGAACTGGTGATTCTGGGTCGGATAAATGAACCACCGATTCCAGGATGGTCTGATTTATTAAAAAAAATAATAATAAAAATAAGTCGAATCATCTGTTCAAAGTTTGTAAAAATGCTTGGATCAAATCCGGCCCGTGTATTCAGAACCAAAACCATCGATTTAAAATTTGTATATGTTTGAATCGGAACCGACCCGGATAAAATCATGGGCCGGTTCAATCCCATGGTCAGCGAGCCGATTCGACCCGTGGCTTCTCAACTTTTTCTCAGTTACGGAGAGTGCGAGAAAATGAACTCTGATAGTTCTAGTTTACATGCGTCTCTTTAGGTAAAACAAAATAAATAAATAAAAATAGAGACCATGTTTCCATAAACGCGCCAAAGAGTCGAACTCGTATGTAAACTGGAACTATCAGAGCTCATTTTCTCGCACTCTCCATAACCGAGAAAAAATTGAGAAGCCAAAAGCAGAAGAAGCTGAAATATGGCACTGTTGTGCTTCGTGTTAGATTTGCGTAGCTTGTCGCCTCCAGTTCTTCGAGATCTGAAGCAGGTGCTTGCACACAAATGGCACACACTTTATCAATTTTATTGATTGCGTCGCAATCGTTCATTATTTTGATGTTATAATTCGATTTTCAATGCTTTTCAGATTTTTCTCCTGAATGAGATATTGATTAGAACTGATTTTGCGTTTTTTTCCTTGGTTACTGCGTTAGTCGTTGTTTCAGCTAGCAAATTACTACGCAGTATCGCTTCCGAAGATTACCAATAGTTTTGATGGAGGTCAATCGAGTTCTAAGCCGCTGCTTGATCGCATTGGAATCTGTTACGTCTCCCGGGATCGTGTTTCTTGTGCCGATGAGGTATTTCTGGCCACCAACTTTAACGCACTAGCTCCTTAATCCTGTTTGTGATTTTGTGTAGCATTAATTTCTGTTTTGCAGTGCTCGAATTTCGTTTGAGCTATTTTGTTGGCGTAATCCATGCTGTTATAATTAGTGAAAAATTCATGCTGTTGTTTTTGATTTTCTAATGAAAGCTGCACCGATTTCCTATTCTTGAGGAAGATGACAATTGATTAAAGAGGTCGGCTTAGTTGAGGATGCTTTTGTTTTGGAAAAAAAAAGCATCTGAATATGTGATTTCTTAAGAAAATTTTGACGCCAAATCGAACTTGATGGTTATAACGGTTTAGATACAAATTTCTGAACCCCAACATAGGATACTCCATGTTAATGTAATTGTTACACTACCTATTGTGTGTACCTTATATCAGCTTCAGGCTATTTGGAGTCTCTTTGATTGTGCATTTCACTTTCTGCAGTAGCTGCATGTATCATGGAGCTACTTGAACTAAAAAGTTGAATTGCGTGAAATGTTATTATTTTATGAACCTCTGCTCTGCATGCCAAAATATATTACTTTGTTTTGACGAGATTTTCCTTTGCGTGCATGACTGTTCCTCTCAAATTTTTAAGTCTCAACTGTAAATAATAGATTAAATAAGTATAAGAGGTGGGACCTTGTATGTTAAACAGCTGAAGATCGCATATAATCCACATGGAAACTTCAATCTGCGCGATCTTCACCATGCTCTAAACAATGTGCCTACCGATGCTTTGTCGCCCCAATCCAGTGATTCTGGAGCTTTATGTAGGGGTAATACGTTTTGTGTTCCATCCCCTGCTGAATCTCATGCACAAGCAACCATATGTGCAGGAAAAAAATTATAATTTCGGCAGTTAGTTCCAGATAGTTCAATTATTTGTATGTTCTTATGATATGTTGTAGACCTGAAGCTGGCTGATGTCCTGAGTGAAGAAAGTCTGTACACTTGGGGAGGCCATGGCAAAAATATTGCAAGAAAAGTGATTTCGATAAGTTCTTCTTTTACTGGTGCCCTAAATTCTGAAACAATAAAAGCTCTAATGGTGAGGCGAATTTTCTGCCATCGATCAGTACACCACTGTTATAAAATATTTTTCACTATAAATATTATGTAATTTTCTTCACAGGATGCTTCTGACAAGAATGTTATAGTGGAACTTATTTCTTTGGAGCGAACATTAAACCACCATGGTGGTATTGATCAACTTGTAAAACAGATTGATTCGCTTAACAACTGCTCATTTCAGACATTGATTCCAGGTAAATAAGAGATATAACAGCAAAGCATCTTAGTAAGTCTTTGAAAGTGTTAGTTTTACATTAATTCATGTATGAGAACTATTTGTTAGATAGTACATTATTGCTATAGATTGACTATGTTAGTTGGATAATGCAAAAATTCAGGTTGTGTTGGTTCTGTATGAATTTGTACATCAAAACAGCATTGGGCTATGATGTTACAACTGAAGATATTAGATTACAATTTCAGTGATCGGTTTATAAGTTTGTCTTTTATTGTATTGAACCTTAAGCTATTGATCGGTTGATATAATAGAAATATGACTTGGCAGAGCACAATAGAATGAAGTATATGAATTATATTATTCAGATCTACAGGTATTGCATGGTCTCGTGAAAAGATGGCTCCAAGAATTAACAGATGACAGAGAAGAACCATTACAAGCTAGTTTTATATTCAAGACAAATCTAATGAGCTCAATGAATCAGATATCCTGCAACTTATGTGCATCTTTCAATCCTATGGCCGACGAGTTCTTCTTTTGTGAGGTATCTTGTAGCATTTCATTGACAAAGTACATGGGATGGAAATTTAAGCGATTCTGGTATATTAGATGTTTTGCTTTTTTGAGAACCCTCAAATCACTATTCTAGCATCCACATATTATTGGCTATCAGTTGAGTATCTGCTTGCATATATGCACAGATATACTAATAACTTATTCTTAGCATCTTATCAATTTGGATAAGACTGGTAAAGTTAGTTCGTGTCGAAGAACATCCGTGCCTCATAGTAATTATTTTCTTATGCTGAATGAAGAGTCAATGTTCATGCAGCATTGCTTTGACTTCGATCATGATATCAGTTCATTACAGTTATGCTGTATTTAAGCAGACATGCAGGTGTCATGGCAAACCATTGGGTCACTCAAATATGAAGCCAAACAAGTCTTTGTCTTGTCCAGTAACCAGTGATGACCTTGGAGATTTAGATATCGTTGAGAACTCTGTCAGGGTTGGTGAAGAGACAATCCTCTATATGCCGTCTTTCCAGGGTTGTTCGAAGCTCAAGAAACTTGCATCACCCATTGACTTCGTTGTCATTCAGAGGACCAACTTAGTATCACTCTGTGAAGGTACTTCTCTGAAAAAATGTGCATCTTGTTATTTTCAATATTTTACTATGTTCTTTTAAGTCCACATATTCACCGCTGGCATTAATCAATATATCTTTTTTTTTTTTTTTTTGTGATTTTCGAACATTCTGATAATGCTCTCTCATGGAGAGCAGCTCACTTTTTTCCCCCCTCATGTTACTGTGAAGTGTACTTCTGTTGCAGCTTGTGCGTATGTGGTATGGTGTCCTTGTCTGTTAAATTTCTCTGAAAATATGTATCTGCACAAGTTCTATGGAGCCCACCGATTCCAGTTCTGACATATAGAATTTCTCTTTCTGCTCGAGTACAAACGTAGTTATTGGGTAAAAAAATTTTACATGTGAAAAGAGGCTTATTTTCCTGTAGATTTTTTAAATGGCTTGTGAGCAAGTTTTAAAAATTTGAGCAACTGATACGGGTCACTTGCATTATACAATCCTGTAATTTATCTCTGAACTCTTAACTAGCCAGCCTCTTTTTTTCTGGTGTAGGATTTTAACTACATATGATACTTTAGCTAATGCATGCCAGGTTTAATTCATATCTAATTTTCTCCACAGGGTTATTAATGGGCGCTACTTATTTTGTTATTCCATCAACTTTTAACCATTCGGATGATAACAACTCAGAGCTAAACAATCAAGGTAGGTGGAACACACACTTTATCTTTGATCAGAAATATCTTGACTATATATTTGATGCTGATAATATTTCATTAATGCTCGTGTTAACAGTCTTTCAAGTGGTATGCAATGTTCTGAATTCCCTCGATCAGGGTCTGGTTTGCTCATCAAATTGTAACATTGAAACTGGAATGGAAACATCATTCAAGTGTTATTATATTCTATTACCTACAGACAAAGGGCTGATGCTTCTCAGGGTA